TTAGTGGAGACCTCATAGAAAGCGGTGAGTGTGCAAAGCTGTGTTCAAAGTGATTGAAATCTTGGTTTGGGGTTTCTTTGTTTGGTTATGGAGGCGTCTGGCCGAGTGAGTTGCTATCAACTTGACCTTTCCAGGCTCTGAAGAAGGCGAAATTCGCCGAAACGTCAGCTTAATCGTGAACAAAGAACAATAACACCTCGCGTTTGCTCAAAAAAAAAATACGAACAAAATCACTTGATCAATGCCGAGGTTAATAGAAAGTCGGTCGTGGCAGCTAACTTTTTTATTTACTGCCTATTACAATTTTTCACGGCATTCTTTATAATTTTGCGGGATTGTATTGTTTTTAGCGTACGTGGACCATCATAATTCCGCTTTGTAACAAAATCTCCTTCACTTTTTACAGCTCGGTAATCTTTCAGTCAGTAATTGACAGGGTTTTGAGGTCTCTGTTGCAAATTTTCGGTTCTCCACCAAGTGCTCAACATTTTGATGATTAACATACGCTTTCTGTTACAGTATTGCAGGACCAGGTATCATGTATATCACACGACGACTATTCCACCACTTTTTGCATTTGATTCGTTTCCTTGCATCCACGAACGTCTTCGAACCTTTTTGCGTATAGCTTCAGCTGCTCACTTTTTATCTTCACAGGTGTCGGTGAATGTTGGTCGAATCATTTCCTTTTGGAACCACGAGTAGCCTTGCTAAGGCATACCCACGTGGATTAGCGGGAGTGAGCCTGTCTTAGACAAGCCTAGTACCAGTTTCTCGAAGTCCAAGATGTGAGAGGTTTGGTGTCGAACTAACGGATGTATAGGTTAGGCTACCCGCGTAATTAAAGGGATCACCATCAGTGCGCTACCCGCTCCCATACGCTTCAATAATATGAGAAGAAAAAGACAGAATTCTATATGAAAGCAGAGCTAGGTAGTTTTCTTTAGTCGTTTCCTCTTATCCACAACAACAAGCCATGAACTTGCCTAGATTTGGAGGAAGTGTACCATCTGCGGATAGGTTTTCTTTAGAACGCTAAGGACTCCTAGCATTAGTTTATTGTAATATCGACTTCCACACGTAAAATAATAAACTCCTTCTCAGCTTGGTTTACTTAGACGTCGTAGTTCGACCCCCTCGATTTACGTCGTACTCTCCTTTTCAGAGACACCTCGTAAAACACTACGAAGTGGTTATCCATCAATGTTGAAGAACTAACCTATTGCGAATTCCATATTGCCAAGTGACAAACCGAAAAAGTGACAAAATGCTAAGCTCAAACGGTTAATTGGGTGACCAAAAATATGAACCTCTGAGTTTTGTACTTTTGAGAAAACGAAAAAGTGGTAGACAACTTGTCTAAACGGTCGAATTGGCGGATCTATTGGGAATTTCTGCATCTGAAATGTCAGCAAAGATTGAGCATTTGGCTTCTGATGAAATGCGGTAGTCTGATGTGATCAAAAATTGGGTGGACAAAAAGGGACATAACGAATTCATTAGTGAGATTTAACAATCCTGGAAACCGTTCAGGTCGCTGAAGCACTTTTGAATCCTTTGGGCGAGGATGATGACGACCTCGAATGTAATTATGTCATCGACAAAAATTTAATAGTGAGTGATTAGTTAGATTTTTGTAGTACTTGTTTTAATGTGAAAATGAGGTTTTTTGATAAAGGAGTTGCTTAAATTGGAGACTTATACTTTCAAAGAGGCTTGTGAAGAGTTCAGTGTGAAATAGACGTGGAGTATTTCAAATAGTTAACGGCATGAGATTTTTTTGTTTGAACACGGGGTTCTCGTCTGCCATCCTACCAATGGCCTCAGTTTTTCTTTTCCGAATTTCATTTTTTTTGGGGTGATTTATTCATGGATCCTGAGGTAGCCGGATTGCTTGTTTACTCTCTTACTGATGTGCATTTTCCTTCAGAACAACAGTGAGACAGGCTTTTTAGACAGGAATCACTATTGTGGACACGTTGTGGAAACCGACAGAGGTGACGCATAGCAGTCTATCCGCTTCTAGATTTTCCTTTTCTGGGTGACGATCAAGTGACTAAAAGAGAGGATTGCTCATTGATCGTCACTCAATTCAGGCTCAGTTTTCAAGCTATGCAGAAAGCATGGAACTAATTCCTAGTCCGTGTGGATGCCATAGAAAGAGCAGTGCTAAAACCGCTTTAAATGACGCTACCAAGCATGTCATTCTTTTAACACTTGCTTTATATTTGGGTGTTGAAATGATAGATAGAAGCAAGTGCGTAACGGTTGACACTTTATTGTTTTGTTAAACTTCAGACAGGATACTCGATGATAGAAGAAAACCTGGCTCGGATACCTGAGCAGAAGAAAGATGACTTTTGGGGAATCGACAAAATCGCTCCGCTGTACAGTATTGAATCCGCTGAACGCTCTGTGCATCCATTAGTTGGAAGCGCTAGCAAAATTAAGTAAGTTCGTGATCTCTTCTATTATACCATAAAAAAACTTTTTATAAAAAAAGTGAGGAATACATATGAATAGAGCACTTAATCCGACTAATTGCTTACACAGAAGACTGTAATGTATTGTTAGTTGAGTCGAGTGGGATATGGAATAGATGCAACAGCAGATCTGTTAGTTCAATATAGAATCGTCGACTTTCTATAATTTGGGAACTGGACCTTCTGTGGGTGGTCGTAGAGTGAACTCCAAACTTAGGCAATTACAGCCCGCCTTGGCGTTGATCAATCCTTGAGAGATGCGTCGTGCATTCGACTTCATCATGCAACGTTGGAAGGTGATTGAATGCATATCTAGTCTTTACAATGACTCAATGGTGGCCTACAAATTTATGGAGCCAGTGCTGCTATCTTCCCAGACAAGTTTAGTACCAAATTGCCGACTCCGGAGGGATGGAAGGCTTCGTGGGCCATGGGCGCGGGGATGATCGATTCCACGTGTGTTGCAGGGCTCCTCCGGCCACTCCGCCACGCTTCCTCACCCGAATAAATAAATATGCACACATTTGTATTACTTTGTTTATTATATTTATTTCGCAGATATAGTATTAAGAAGTGCAGAATCTTCTATACGACATGTAGTCTAGTCTCTGTATATACAGTTCGTAGAGAGTGTAAAGCTCAATTTCTGTTGCTAATACTAGGATCAAAAGCTACGCGGTTAATTTTTCATAGAATTCCGCTCGGGATAATTTTGCTAGGGTTACTGTGTACGCTGGTGACGAACTGAAGAGGGATTTAACTAGGTTTATTTCGATACTCCAGGAAACCACAATAACTAAGCCAACAAACCTCCAAAGAATGGAAATTATGTTGCGGCCTAGAAGACTGGTAAAGATGCGCCATCCAAGTAAAGAAGAAATTGTGAGAATATAACGTGATAGTTCAACTTCTCATTGCAAAAAACAAAGAGACGTCGAAGTTCGAAAAACAGCAGCAATTTATGTCATTGCAGGACTAACAGGGCAGTGAAGTGTTTCGATATCTTCCCATATTTGGAGCATCTGAATCCAACAGTTGATCAGAATATTTTCAAAAAACACGATCTTCATACTGAGTGGTGTATTCACTATTATTTCTGTCCCACGGGAATACTTTATTAACATAGATCGATTTTACACTCCAGAGAACGTATGTAGTGGCTAGAGGTGCTCTACTATACATCGTAGTTCGTTCCGTAGTACAATCTTGCACTCCAGGCCCACAAAACATTTTATCCCTCTGGGATTGGCAAATTGATATTAGACTTGAATAGGAGGTGAGAACCACTGATACATCAGTGATCACCCCAAGTCATTGCACCGAACCGATATACATTCAATTACCACTGACCAGTCTTGATGAAGTGCTTGGTGCATCCCTCAGGGTTTGATCATAGCCAAACGCTTTATCTTTCATCATTTTTCCTGACAAATTTAGTCGAACGCCATGATTTCTCTAGCAAGTTGGAAAAAACAGGGTCATGATGTCGCGATTTAAATGTGAGAGAAACAAATGGGTTTACTCACCCACTTAACTGATTAGTGCGTTCTACTCCTACGTACGTACTGATAAAGAAATATGACATTTCTAGCACGCCAGAATAATAATTAGCTAAACCGACTTTCACTTAGCCTCCGTGCGAACAACCAATACATTAGCTTGAATTGTTCAGTTTACACGAGGTTGTCTACTAAGCTAACGTAGGAAGACGAATACGTTGAAACGTCTGCCGAATAAAAGTTTTATAACTACCTCGTGTAAGGTGGACAATCTAAACAAATGTGATATTTCTATTTGGAAGCCGTCCTATGATAAGCCATTGTCAGAAATAGTCGACATTTTAAAAAAAAAAAAGTACCACATCCCATGTCGAGCACCCAAAGTTTGACATAAGGAAAACGTCTTAGAATGAATCCCTGAATACTTCAGGAAAAAAACATGCTGGAACACCAGTTTACTAACCAGGTGGAAATTTTGCTGCTTTCTACATAATTCTTCGAGAAGAGTAATCATTCATGTGGATCAATTTTCTTAACAAGACCATTTCTCCAAATTTGTGTTGATTCTATTGCTATGGATTTGTATGAAGGCGGCGGGCCATAGCTGGCAATTTTAAAATTTGGCGAGCATTGAGTTCAGATTGATCAACTGTCGACACTTAGCTTTCGAAGGTATCGACATTGACGATCTTTTGCTGTGAATGGCTTGGTCTAAACATTGATTGCCATATATCAGTGATGCGCAATAGAGAAAGTAAAGCACGAAAAGATTTATGACGACACCAATGCCGCCATTCCACCGCAAAATGCTTTTGTCGAAAATAAAAAGAACACTGCGGTTCGCTGAACAAGAATTGTCATTTTGCCAGCGACTTTCAAAGAGCGGTTGCAGGTACTTAATGTCTTCAGCCACCTAGGCAAAACACAAAATATTAGTAGAAATGGGGCTAGTGCATATAACAACCTGCAAATTCTCTGTTTTTGTTGGCAACATGTAACATCTGCCGTAGTCCAACCACCTTCGATTTTTTTCCATATTAGCTCATTGGGCGCATGTAGAGCAGTGCTAAGAGGTAACCTGCAATGCGCATAAGGTCGATCCCCGCGTCTAGGCTCACGAACCCATCCATCCATTCGGGATCGGCGAGTTGGTGCCAGACTTGTCTGGTAGGGTGGCAGCACGGTTTGATACATCGTAGGTCACAGCGAGTTATTGTAAAAGCCAGATACGCGTGCAACCACCTCTAATGTTGCTTAATAAAGTCGAATGCATGGGCGTCCCTCAGGGATTGATCAACACCAAGGTTTTTATCCTTTTTTATCTTTTTACCGGCTCGTTCTCAATCCAAAAGAGTCCTCCGGAAATACTGAAGTTTGTTTGCGGCCGATTAAATCTTTAAGCTTCTTAGATATATGAAAAATCAGATGAACTCCGACATGATGAATGAAAAACTGTTAGTTGGAGCGGCAGTTACCACAGATGCCTAGCTTATTTTAGCAAGGCCAGTCTTCTCCTCGCGGTTCAAAGTCGACTGAATTTTTTACCACATTATTATTTTTAAAATATTACGTCGCTCAAATCTAAGTTAGAACAACGCAAGATAGATTCAATAAATTCTGCGAAATGAACGTTGTTCCAGTCTGGTGAAAAATCGGCACGAGATCGTTATGACACCACACAAGAACAAGCTCAGTGAGTTGTCGGACGAAGAACAAGTGAGTTTGGCAGCATAAGAACTTAATCACTCTTTGCAGAAGTCCTGGTACATATCGTGTACTCAACAAAATCTAATGCTCCGACTTCGTTTTCTGAGTCTAACATGACAGTCGCGCATTTTATCACACTAGGGTTCGAAGAAGCGTTGCATTTTTATTGCATGTAGCGTAGTCGTTAGAGCTGCGTTCAATACACATTTGGTGGACGACTCGACTGGTTCGAAGCGCAACTGAAGTCCCGAGTCTCGCTCACATCTCGTCATGCTTGTGAAATGATCATTGTTAAATCAAGCATCAATTTGGCTGGAAAAATTCTGAATATTTCATCTTTCTCCTAATGCAAGCCCAATACAGCCTATCTTCATCGATTTTGAACTCATGGCTCCATCAATCAAGAACTGTGATTTTTGAATTAAAATGTGCAATTCTCACATTAGAAGGCAGCATTGAGATATGCGGCTATCCGCACATAGTAATAGACCACGTCTCCTCTTGACGCAGGAGCGAAGCTTCTAGGGGTATCGGTCTAAAGTGTGATTAGATGACGAAGCTGACATTCAGGGGGTTGCTATGTGATCTACGCTCAAAGCATCTAATTACTCGAAGGTCTTGGATTTCTGATCATAACATTTGACCTTTTAATTATACATGGAGGCGATTCCAGCATTGTCGCTATAGATGCCTTATTCTTAACGTCTTTAACTAGACAAGCCCTCACTCATCCCGACAAATCGGCACCATGTTGTCTAGCAAAGCAAAAACAACGACCTACTACATCAGTCACCCACATCTATCTCTGCTTTGGGCAAATATGCGGTCGATCGCTTCTCCGACGTCTAACAGATAATCCGTCCAATACATGGCGTTTCCTTGAGGGATTGACCATCGCCGATTGGCTACATCTGCAGCATCCTACTTTATTCATGAAGAACAGGAGCCTAATGTTTTTAGCGTTTTCTTATTCTCAAAATCGCTTACGCTTTATGCACAAATTTGTGATTTGAATTGCTCCATAGTCACGAATGGAGTAGTGTGATAAATCAGCATAGTATTTTGAGGATGCAGACGTTTGCTTTAAAGCCGTATTGGGCTTTCTAAATTATTTCTGAGACTGACATAAACGATTTCATACCAGGGATTTATCTCATTTTTTAAAAAGCAAAAGAAAAGCCTAACATTTTCGATCGTCTCTTGTCAACGTGGTGACCTCTTTCAGAAGTCTTACTTACGGAGAGTGTCTGTGACAGCGCATAATGAACGGCATCACCGCCTACGGACTCAAGAAAGGGCGAATAGTCCAGACACATGTCTGTCAAAAGTTCGGACAAGATCCAAGTGAGTTTTATGGAAGGTGTTCTATCCGAACAGACATTAGGAAGTAACCAACAGGTCTCTCTATTGTGATATTTTCGACTGTTTTCTGATTTTCTGAAAAGAACTGGTAGAGCTCTTCAAACGCGAAAGGGGTAGTGCTTGATGTAAAGAAGAGAACGTCAGCCCCAATAGACGTTTTTTTTCTTCAAAATCATGCAGTAATGATTGCACAGCGCGTCGAAAACCTCTTCCTTTTGGCAGGTATCCATGACTAATAACTGGATCAATACTGAAATTTCAAATTCATTCGTATTCCTTAGCTTACTTACTTGATACTTGAATGGCCCGTCCTCATTGGTTGTGCGGACCCCAGCATAATCTTTGTTTTTCGGAGATTTGCTGGTTAAGCCATTGTGCTTCCCTGGAATCCAGAGGTCGGCCTGGTCGAAGCCTGCTCTAGGTCTTCACCACCACAGGCTGTCACAGTCCTAGTAGATCAGAGGGAGATTTGCCATCGTGCGACTTTGATACCAGGACGATAACGGATCCTGGTGTTTGTTTACTCTTAGCTGGACTTCTTGAAGGAAACGCCAGACCCCTTCTCATCTTGCGAGACCCTGCCTGTCAGTTGAATTTCCCTGCTGTACATCGCAGCCCATCTAGGAACACTCCCAGCCACGATGAGGCGGTAAACTGCTAGAAGGATTCTTTAGATTAACAAAGTAAGATGAAAAAAGTAAGAATGGACATCGACATTGGCAATACATACGCAGTAGTCTAAGGTCTAGTGAATTTTGCCCACAAGCCAGCATAAATGGTAATGATCTTTCTAAAATCCGATCAATAACTATGTTTTTCATTGCGCTGAGTAGGACTTGTGTCATCCTAGTGTATTTGACGCAGAAATTTTCGTGTCGTGAAATATCGAAAACGGAAAGTGGGGTGTGGATTATGCTTTCGTCTTGAAATGAAACTTTATGAAATATTTGTGCTATTTTCTAGATCCGAATTGCAATACATTCAATTCTATGAAAAGTAAGTTGCATGCGATTTTGGACTGTGTGCTTGTGCAGTGCCTAAATAAGAGAGATGGCATCCAGTCCTCACTAAACGCGACACTTTCTCCTCTTTAGCGGTAAATTCCAAGGGACGTCGACGAATGGCAAACCACACTGCGACGATTCTTGGCGACGGTCTGGTGCGTTTCGATCTTTTTAGGAGTTTATTCCTTTTCAGAAACAAAACCAAACAAACTTTGCTTTTTGAAAGAAAAACCCAGTGGTGTCTTTCAGCATGTTATATCATCTTTTATTTGGAACTCCACCAATAGATATACCGTATTTATGTGGTAAAATTTACCGTTAGTTGCAGTTAGTAGGAGTTTCTGCAGATAAGCTTGGTTCTTTTCCTAATCCAAGTTAGGCGATCGATCGAGGTTTACGTAATAAGCTGAATCCTTGAAGGAATATTGGCTATGATAGTCTTACACATGCTGTTGCGTGGTAAACGGTTGAATGTTTGACAGCGAAGTGTTTCGTTGATGACGATAAACACCTGACAGTCTCAGTTCACGAGCCAGCGCAAGTACCGAAGTGTCTTTCATTGGTTCAGGTAATTTAAGCAGTCGACGTGGACAAATTAATAAAAAGTCCCACATAAAGATTTATTCAATTAGCAGTTTTTTTTAAAAACAGAAGAAAATTGTGGTAAAATTTGGCCTCGACAACGAGAAGAGTTACGATCGAAGATAGTGCGAAAACTTCTTGATTGCTGACATTGCTCGGATAGTTTTTAGTGCTTACCTGAACCAACTTTATTTCCTAACGGCGAAGGATATCCACGAAACATTTTCTACCGACACCTTTCTCTTTCATGTAAAGAAATTTTAGTATTTAACTGGGCTTCTCCTCTCAACGGTTTACCGCTTCATCGTGGCCGGGAGTTGTTCCTGCGTGTCGCATTGCGATGTACATCGCGAGGATTCATTGCCCCGGCAGAGTCTTCCAACCTGAGAACGAGTCCGACGTTTCCGTTAGAAAGCCTAGCTAAGGTTAAACCAATACCATCATCCACCACCCTCCTGGTATCAAATCAGTCGCATGATGGCAAATCTTCTTCTGATCCACAAGAGCTGCGACTACTTGTAGTGGTGACGACCTAGTGCAGACTTTGGCCAGGCTAACCTCGGAACTCCGGGGAAGTACAGCGGCTAAATCAGCAAAACTCCAAAAAATGGAGATTGTGCTGGGGCCAGCACAACCAGTGAGGACGAGTCGTCAAAGAAAAAGAGAAGCAGAAGTGAGCGTCTAGAACGCGATAAAAAGAATCAGATGAAATCCGTCAGAAATTGTGAGTCTCCTGATAAGCATCCTACTTTTTCTCAAACTATATTTAGCTCTCAAAAATGGATTGCTTCAAATTCGCATAGAAACTTGAAATACGAAGCAGTTAAATGTGCATCCTTTTTCTACTTAGTGAGTGCTGGGCGCACTCACGCACAGCCCTATGAATGGATTTCAATTGTTTGAAGAATTTCCATTTATTTCAGTGGCTGACATCGAAATGAATGCACCGATGTCATTTCACATCAGTAATCAAGTCCACCCACAGTCGACTCCTGATTCAATTCCAGAGAGCGAGTGATACCAGTTCGTCTACAATGTTTGTATCATCGATTGCTCAAGTTGCATGAAAATATTACAAGATAAAAATGAGACTCTGTTGATTAATGGTGTTGAGGTAAAAAACTAGATAGAATTCAAACTCTTCTGTCGCTTTAAAAACTCGTTAAAAAGTGTCTGGTGTTAATGTTAGCCAATGAAGTTTGTAGAGGATGGGTGGCGAAGTGATTTTACTAAGCCTCTCATCTCCCCGAAGTCGGGAAGTTGGTCCTCCAGTCTTATCTGGTCTGGAATCAGCTCACTCTCTCCAACTCACGTAAAATGCTTTAGCATAAGTGTTCTAGGACACCAGGCAGGGTAGACTCAACCGGGTATCCTAGGAAAAACCTAAAAGCCCCGAAAAATCAGGTTATATACTGCTTGTCATTGTTAAAATCTCTTAAGGAAAGCCATTTCGCAACCAAGCAGAATTCATCAACAAGTACTTGGTGTATTCAGAGCATATATCAAAAATGTTTTTAGCTTTAGCTGTTTTTAGCTTATACTGGAAGAAGGGGTGCGTGTGGTGCAGTGGTTGGAGGCGCCACTGCGACGCACACGTGGTATCGATCCCCGCACCCCTGGCTCACCAAGCCTTCCATCCATCCGGGGTCGGCAAATTGGTAACAGACTTTTCTGGGAGGATAACAGCACTAGCTTGATAGATCGGTAAGCTACAGCGAGTTATTGTAAAGCTCAAATATGCATTCAAATACCTCCAGACGACACTCAATGAAGTCGGCTGCATGGCACACCCCTCAGGAATTGATCAACGCCAGGAGTTTTATCCTTTTTTTAGCTGAAGAACACTGTGACCCCTGAGTACCGATTATAACCGAAGGAAATAAATTTACAGAAAGAAAAGGTGGAAGACAAAAAGTCACCGATATACGCGGTTTTCATTGCACGTGTAGGGAAATTGTGATCGCACTTTCTACGCACGGCCTTACAAATGTTTCGTGACCTCGAAGTACCATTGAAATCGCAGGCAAGACAAAAATCACCTTCATTATTTCTAATCCCATTAATCATCTAAACTAAACTCGTCTGAAAAAATGTTTTTTGTAAGGTACAAAATGTATAATATAGCTTTTCCCTGACTACGTTTGGCAGCTTATCTGTGGCATGCGTCGTCTATCCACTGAAGGCAAGAATTAGTGGAAAATCTAGGTGGGGCCAAAAATAAGAGCCAAAAAACCGCATTGAAATGAATGCGCAGAATGTGTTGATCAAAACTGAGGCTTGCTATTAGTCGAGAGATGAGCAAAGAACGCCAACTCCATTTTTTAAGCCGGGAACAAAAGTTTGAAAAATTGCAGGACTGTGGTTAGTATTCCACACTACTTGGTTCATAACAGTTTTTTTTAACAGTCTTAACTTAAATGAATTCGGTCAACAATTACGTGTTTCACACTTTGTACATGCATCAATAAACTTTCAAAAACGGTTTTTCGCGCCCTTTTTCAGTGGATTCCCGTCGAACTCGACTGCCTTGGTTAACATCGCTCTCTGTCCTTAATCCCATCAGATCTGATTTTTACTGCAGAAACTTTACTATTATTTGTAAATTTACGCAATTCAGTTAAAAATGAAGTATGTCGTGAGCTTCTGCACGAAAACAACGTATGTGTTCACCAAGTATCCGGTGAATATCTGTACTACACTGCCTTTTCGTAAACTTAATCACGTTCAGGACGATGTTGCAGAGTTCCAGATGAATATTATTCTCCGTTTTCACAAGGTTTGAAACAGGCGTCGTGGCCCAGCTTTTCGTCGATAGCGAAGACTGTGAAGGATATATAGGATATAAGCACTCTGAAGTCTAGGTAAAAACCGTGTTTTCTTAGACACCTGTATAAATAAATCCACCAGGACTTCACGCATCGATGGTCTTTCGATCCGAAAACTGCAATTTCTGGAGATATGGAGCATCAACAGCAGCCATCGTGACTATTTAAACGGCTTTCGTATTCCTCAACTTAAAATTCGTTCGTAGTGGTGTTTCATTCAGCATTAAAGTATGCGATAAAAACTGATAGAATATTTCATTGCGGCCGATACCAGTGTTCGTTGGGTTAAAATTTTTTGACTCAGATATTGCCACATAGCAGTTATTGATGTTGACTCTGCTGAAGTATCAGAAGACGGGCATACTAAAGTACAAGACACTGGCATCCCAAACGTATTCTCAAGCTGTTTTCGTGGCGAAAAGGAAAATAAAACCCCATTCGAGTTTGAAATTTGGTCGCCGGACCTCCGTATTTGTCACTGACCACGGACTTCCCACTGTAAACAACCAAGACCACCTTTTTCCTGTTGACTCAAAGTCTTTAATCGCAGCATAAGAAAATTCACATCAGGACTAAAAATCTAAGCTACTACACTACCAGGCAACCTCTGACTTTTGTGAATAGCAAGATTCCCTACATTTCAACCAAGTTTCTATAATATCTACATCTACTGTCTTCACACGTTCATTGATAATTGGTCTTCTCTTCTAAGAGGTAAAATAGAACCCTCAAATGAGCTTAAGCAATCCATCAAACAGAACTCATGTTAGCTATGTCGATGAAGAGCAGCAAGCTTCCCAACATATTTGGCTGCCTTCGAAGCGACTCAAATGCTCATGTATCCTATCTATTCCTTTCACAAAGCTGGTGTACTATTGTAAGTAATTAGCGATGTACTTCTCTATAGCGCATTTTATCCATATGTCTTCCGATACATGCTGTTAAAATACTTTAATGCTACAAATACAATGTGCACAAAATAGAAATACGAATTACAAAAATGAAGCAAAAGTGCTTAGAGAAATAAATATGCGTAAATAAACAGCGCACCCGTAAAATTATATCCTGCCAAAACTGTATCGTTATTAAATAGGAGCGAGAAAAAGAAAAGATAGTGAGTAATGAAGAAGGATGACAAGAAGACAAGACTGGGACTAGCCACTGGAAAGTGCTATAGGACAAGAGGAAGTAAATTTAAAACTAACATTAGTGAAACGCCCCTGATGGATGAAAACATGGAGGTAAGGACTTAATCATGCGGAAAGCCGTCTCTACAGATTTCCACGATAAACCGAGTAATCAGCGGAGCAAGAAAAAATTATAGGGCCTTTACACTTATGTCAGAGAGAAATTCAAAGGCAAACCAGGAGCCAGAAACGAAAAACACGAGAGATTCGACACGAGGCCGAGGTAAAGATGATACTCGTTCTTTCATCCAGAACTATCCCTACTACTATTTCTACTACCTCTACCACCACTATCTCCATAAACCGATGTCAAAAGTTCTGTGATTTCTAACCACAATGATATGGATTACAAATAAAAAGCACCACATTTACAAGGCTGTTTGTAATGATCACGGCTAATATTAACATAAAGAATAATTAACAATATTTAAAAAATAGTTTCAGTGTAAAATACAAGACAGAGTTTATTTGGGTAATCAATTAACCAAAGATGAGTGATATCTGCTAAACGAAGCAAAAATTCTTCTGATGTCGTTCACACTTGAATGAATTTATCTACTCTGTAAGCCTCTAATTTAACAAAGTCTACTGTGGAGTTCTATGATAAGGAATATAAATATGCGAACTTTCGTCGTCGGACTCCTCCTGGGCTCGTCGCCAACGCCGTAGACGGCGTGGAGTGAAGACGGAGTTAGTCTTGAGAGTTGACAAGACAGCTTCACTCGTATCATGCTGCACTGCTGGGAAGGACATCTTGGGCTTCATATCCACTCGGTAATTGGCTCCCCGATTATTGTCCCAAAATTCACAACCGTTCACAGTGAAACGCACACAAAATTGGCATTGTCCATCCTGAAAGGACGAAAAAGAAGTAACAGGTTGCTCTGACATTAAGCAAAACGACAAGTACATGCAATGTGAGAATACACTTAAGTGTCCACAATTTGTAGGTAAAATCAGAAATAATCTAATTTAAGAAATTAGCTTTTTTTTCTGAAATTTAATCAAGGCCATCACTCCAATCATGTTCTCTAGTTACAGCAGATCACCGCTTAATTAATGCTTTTATTGCCACGATCAAAGGAAAAAGAAGCCGTTTAAGTGCCTGAAGCTTTTCAATTTCTAGCAGAGCACAATGTTAAAATGTATAACCATGTCGAATGTTTACACTAAATATTACACAGCGAAACTAGGAAATATATCGCACGTCGCACTTATACACACAACGCTTGCATTTAGGTCACTGAGAGAACCCAGTTAGTTTCTTTAGGCGCATTTTCTTTATACCCCTTCCGACATGCGAACAGGAGGAAAGTGGGACTTCGTCATCTGCCACGATTGATAGAGACGTATGTTGTTTATGGACGTAAACATATGCATGCTTGACAGCCCCAGATTCTACGCTGCAGTTGGACGTGGCCAAACCCTACAATCAATTAAATGAGAATGCAACTATGTGCAAGGGAAACACCAGAAACAATAAAAAGTAGGTTCCACGTGTACATAAAACTTCGGCAAGGTAAACCTATGATCCATCGCCCAACACAGCAAGAATAATAGCCCTCGGTTTTCTGACACTGAAAGAACTCCCAGCGCTCAGTAATAGCAATACTGGGATCCATGCAACGTGATGATATTAGACTCATTGAAGGAGACTGCTAAAACTTCAGAACTAGGCTGTCTGAATGGCAAGTGAGCACTGAAATCCTTTACTGAGTGTAATAACATCACATTGCACGGATCCCAGCACTTTTTCCATTCGATTCGTTGCCTCGCATCCACCATTGTCGAAAGACTAAGAACTTTTTTACGTGTGCCTTCGGCTACCACTTGAAGATTTTAAAGGAAAGGAAGGCCTTTAATATGAATGTCGTAGAATACTGGTCGAATCGATTTCATCTGGAATCCTGAGATAGGAGTTATGAGGCGTTTTTATGTGAATTAGAGAGAACCACTCTAACCCAGCCAAGTAGGTCACGAATTTCCCGACCACGGAGGAATTGGAGTCTTGGTAGCTGCGGGAAAGGATCGGGCATGTTGGTCTAACGCCGTAATGAACGGCGTCACTACCACTATGCTACCTACTCCCTGATTCTGGTGAAGCAAGTTTTAGAATAACTAGGAAACTTTGTCAACACCAAATAATAGTTTTTTTTTGAGGAGTAACAATGAAATTGTTCCTCTGAGGAACTGAAGACGCGAATGGGACATGAACAGTTGTAAAGATTAGAACCAATGTCGGTAGAGAATTTCCGCGGCATAGGTACAATGAATAAGTCATCGCGAAGATAAGGTTAATTCAACGCTAAAATGATCTCAGAAGAGCCTTTGAAGAACTCTTCTATAAAAACCACAGACGAATTAAGCAAAAAAGGGGAGTCTGTCCGAAACTGTTATGACAACTAACTAACACCTCATACTGCAACCCGCTTTAGGATGTGAATGCCTCTAAGTGGAGTATAGCATACATCAGTTAAAGCTAAAGGACATCAGTTAAACGGTGCTATCACACAGTCGATCAAGTGTTGCCCCAATAATTTCTACATAGAATCGGAATATCCCTTCCCTATCGTATTCATCTTTTTTCGCAGAAAGGGGAAAAATGCACTAACGGAAACCATAAGTTCGTCGTAAATTTGGAATCGCTCATTCCTTTAACCGATAATAATTATAAGTACGACCGTCTCATCCAATATTTTCACGATAGTGTAAAAAAGCCAAGAGTTTTAGAGTCACGAAGAGAAGCCCGTTTCTAGAAACCCTAGAACAGCTGCGCCTCACATGGCTTTTCATGATGGTAAACAATCAACTATTTAAATCTAAACATGAAAATCACCAAAGAGAAGCGGTAAGTGGTAAAAGGCAATAAAACGAAAAAGCAAAAGAGACTGCAGCCAGAGAAGCTGTAGGGAATATCTATGACAATCTCCAGGACTTCAGCAGTTATAAGATCGAAAAGACCGCTCTTCAAAATTCGAATGGAAAATTCACTTCAACAAGAATAGTTTCTCGGACGTAAAAAACTTCCGTAAGAAATTCCGCCAGTTCTCATCAATACGTTGTTCCGGAAACGTTGCATTTGTAAGGGGAATGGCTACACAATGGATACCTAGCACAGTACTATTGTAGCACAATTAGGGACTAGGATTTTATAACTAGATGACATTCCAGTAATTTTCAACAATGTTCACTAGATATGAGTAGAATGGTAATCTTATAAGTAAGAAGGAACTCTAAACATGTATTCAGTACAATGGATCGTATGCAACCGATGACAATGACCGCTCAACATTTACGGGAGTACAGGAATCGTTCGGCTTGTGTATGGAAAAACTGGTCATTCGTTGAAGCTGAACAAAGAGATGTCTATGAGGAACGGATTCGTTTCCGCTTCTGTCCCATTCACCCTCAGTAGAATGAATATTCTCAAGTATGTGCATTTGCATTTGCAAAAGTCGTCGGCACGGCAACAAACCATTTAGTTGCAGGGCAGGAAAAGGTTAGAGACTTTATGAGTTTACCCGAAAGGAATGTGATGAACAGGACAAAAACACCCAATTTTGTTTCCACACTTTTGAGTCTACCACTTTCCTCGTCTTGATGTACGCGTGGGAACTTTTGATGCTATGTAAAGAGAATGAGAAATGTGTCAGCGTCATACAACGCGTTGTAGAGAAAGTGCTTTTAGGAGCACCCTACATAAAACCAGCAAAAGAGGTAATCGAAATTTCCGACGTATGTTGAACACGGACCATTGGAAATGAGGTGCGTCCAACATGTGTTACTTCTTAGAGACAACAGGTTGGTAACAGCTGTTGTGGGCTGGGTACTATGAATTTCCGTGAGTGCAGAAGGAAAGCTACCAACTGTACATTCAGCAAGTAGAACCCACTAGAGACTCTGACGCAACAATGATAATGCAGACTTCGTTGGAGACATTTAAGACAAACAGGAACACAAGCGGTGTACGTGATACAGTCGTCATCAGCCATAGCTTAATTTTTCATCACTGCATTGAAGTTCTTTGGTGACCATTCACGGCAAAAACTCTACGCCTGATTCGATTCATTTAAGATTGCTGACATGTCGCATCTTTTTTTGACACAACTGGCAGGCCACGTGGAAAATTTAGTACCTTTAAGTTCAAAAAGTAATGGAAGAATCACAAGTGAGAACATTTCTGATGACAAGCGCTAAAAATGTCGAACATTCCCACGAAAGCCATGCAATAGTTCAAATTACGACATTGTGATAACGCATGGTATGCGACCACTCTATAGGTGCGATATCAAAAACCCGAAGTAGAAAAATTAAAAGTGAACCTTCATATTTGAGGGAAGCGTTATTAAAAAGAGGAAGGCGTCAACATTATCGGCGCCGAAGACACTATGACCGTAAGACGCTGTCACTTCGTCGAACACCGCCCAGTTAGTAGTTGTATAGCGAATGACTACCTGAAGTAGCAACATTTTTAGTTCGTAATTAAAGTTTATAACTCTATAGGCTATAAAACGGCATGACATCGACTCACCTCTTTAGTGAAAGAGATGTTTGCAACATTGACTTGCCCGATTATAGAACGATTGTGCGCGCATAGTTTCGCTAGACAGACTTTCTCGTCACAAGCACGCTGATTATACTCGGATTCAGAATGGTAGGTGAAGTTCGACAATACCAAGCGATGCTCAGGTGTTGGAGATGGAAGTTTGTTGGAGAACCTGAATCACCTCTGGGTAAATTGAAAGTTAAAATCGTCGATGAAGTACTACAATGAAGAAATATTGTATTGCAGAACTTCACGAACCCCATCTGTCAACAGTGATCGTAATGTACAGGGAAACAACTAACGAATGCGACTCTTTCTCCGTGAAGTACTGGCGAATTTCCAGATTCAATCCAAGAGCATCAGCGAAACGAACGCGCTTCGTACCCACGCTCTTTTGCGAACAACGAAGCGCTGAAGGCAACGTTCGACTCCGTGCATCCCTGAACGTAACGGAAACGAATGTTAAGGACGAGAGAGAATATGAACAAAGAAACGCCCCAACTTTATGTCATCCCATAAAGTGTTGACAATTTTTAGCAAGTGAGCAACTAGTTGAAGTCTTCAGAACTTGTTTACTATCCTGTCCGTTACGGAAACATTGCTTTTGAACAGTAAAAGCAAGTCATTCTATATAAAAACTTCGGAAAGACATTCAAAGTTGGGTGAGAAAAATCAATAAAGCGTGAGAGAAGGGCAGATCAAACAGATCGAGCACTGAATCGAACGAAATATCACAGTGTCGATATGACTCCCGAGCAATATTCCTTACAACATCTCTGCTCTCGGTGTTATTTTTAACCCCGAAACAATGCATTCTGCGGCAAATTAATCAACACACGACGTTTCTTTTGGTTCGGTTAAAAAAATGAAGTAGCACATTAGTGGGCGGTATGAGACCTGAAAGCAGTGAACAAAGTGGATCGTCCAACGCAAAGGCTAAGGTTAAATGACGTCACTGTTCACTGCGCAACAGAATGAAGTGCCACATTACCAGTCATCATTCGAGAATATTCGTCAATTCTGCACCCATTCCATGACTGAAGGTCAAAAAATCGGCAGTCAAGACAATGCGGCTGCACGTTGAAATAACACTCTATCGGATTTTCCACATCCACTTCCAGTTACCAGCTTTTTCAAAAGACGTTTTAGAGCAATGATATGTTCAAAAAACGGAGTATTACATAAATTACACCACATTTTACAAATTCAACATTTGTCCAAAGAACACCATACAATACAACATACAAATACAGAAAAACTGAACCTGTCGACAAGTGGAGGACCGCTTTCGTCCGACGAGAAGCCTGAGTCCGGTGAAATCGGCTCTCCGTCGTTTAGGTTACTGTAGTGTGATGGATCGTACTGAAATGACGTAAAATTGATGTTACCTATTCTTCCATGACTGTGTTCAACATAAAACATCTTCTCAAGCCTGTGTGACTGGAATTACAAAAAATACCTCGAAAAGAGTCCTCACAGCCGTCGGCCTACTGTATAAACGAACTACAAGGTCTAGTGTGAGGTGCTCATATCAAGATGCAGTGTCAAAAAGTAGAACTGAATCCTTCAACTTGCCGAAATGATAAAGGCAACAGCATGTATTACTTTTTCGTTACAGATGCTAATTACTTTTAAAATTAACGATGTGTTAAAAAGCAGTGAATTTTAACTAGAAAAGGGATAAAGGATAAAGCTCTCGGCGTTAATCAATCCCTGAGAAATACGCCACGTTGGAGTTGATTACATGGATAACTGGCCTTTACGATGACTCGCGGTAGTCTACCGACGTAATCAGCTAGTGTTACCACAATCCGAGACAAGCCTGGTACTAATTTACCGACCCCGGCGAGATGGAAGACTTGGCTAGCCTGGGGCGCGGAGATCGATCCCATATGTGTTGCAGGGCGCCTTCCTTCGACCACTGCGCTGCACGCAGCACGCTTTTTTCTAGTTAGAAATTCAACGAAATTTAGAAATAAACGATAGCAAAAGATTCAAGGAAAGTAGCGAGTTTTCCTTTTCGTTTCAAACGATCCTCATAAACGAGGCAGTTTAGGTAGGCCCTAATTAAGTAATGTTTGCGAGAAGGCACTATAGATAATAAGGAAATCCTACATAAAATGTTACCACTCTAAATTGACACTTCTTTTTGTATTTCTACGTGCAAAAAATTTTAATCAACAACGCAGATCAAAACTACTTTTATCGTTCAATGCAAATCCCGATGCCAGAGGACATTTTGCTCATGCTTAATCCTATTTCCTCTACCCGGTAGGTCTTACTCGACTACCGCAAACATTAGCGCAGTGTAATGCAGTGGACTACCTCATCACGTTTTATCTGCCGCCTATTCTTTTTCTAATGACAGGGTACCAAGTGAAATATAACTACAATGACGCTGAAGATTTTTAAAACTCCGGACCTCTGGTTTTTGCGCGGCCGGGATCGAACACACGATTAGCTTTTCCGGCGGCTAACGCGTTTATCGCCACACCATGTGAGTCCTACGTTTCGCCTTTCTCTCAGCCATGTTATTGACCTATAGGTGCTACCGGCAATTACCCATCAACGGGGTTGATCTAGGAAGCGGTCTGGTGTTTTGCAAATATCTCAGTGTCATTATGGTTATATTTCACAATGGACCACTTTCAAATGGCCCCAAATGTGAGGCTAATGGTAGCACTCACCTCACAAACGTCGACTTCATCGCTGACCAGCTTCAACTCGAGCTTCTTCCGATTCAGTTCTTTGACTGGTACTAGAGTGACGCAAGAAACAGCATCAGTCAGATTCAACAGAGTCGTTTCCATGAGCAGTACGAAGTCGTGTCGATGACCAGTCACCAACAGCGATGGCACCAGGGAAGACGCCCCTGTCTGGAAGGGGACGGTAGTTGGGAAATACGAAATTTATGACATCTCGGGCGACGTCAACACGAATGGCAACGATTGAGAGATACGAAGTGAGCACATAAGAACAAACTAAGAACTCAAATGTAAACAGATCACTTTACAGCACCATGAACTTTACGTGCATACGAAAGAAGATAACCTAATGACTTAGAAAGAAAATGAAACAACGACTTCGACGAGCATCGTTCCAAAGGGCACCACAGTTTCCGAATAAGGTAACCGATAGCGATAAGGAGTTGCCAATAAAAGGCGACAACACTGCCACCGCCGTGCCGTAAACAAACCGGACACAATGGGGCAATGTCGTTGTTGTACGTAAAATGTGCATTCACACTACATGCACAAAACTGTACGTCTTTAGCACAGGTTCTTAGATTTTACTAGTATACTTAGATGCATGGACGGCCTGTCCTTATAGGCTGTGCGGACCCCGGTATAACCTTCATTTTTCGGAGCTTTGTTAGATTAGCCACTGTGTTCCCCTATAGTGCCGAGGTCAGCCTGGCCAAAGTCTGCCCCCGGTCATCATCACCACAGGCAGTCGCCGCCATGGTGGATCAGAAGGAGATTTCCCACCATGCAACTAGTTTGGTACCAGTATGGTGACGGATCCTGGTATTGGTTCACTCTTCCTGATGGAAATGCTGAACTCGTTCTCAGCTTGGGAGACCCTACCAGGTGGATGAATCCCTCTGCTGTACATCACAGCCCGACATCCAGAAACACCTCCAAGCCATGAGGAAGCAGTGAACCGTGGGAAAGGGGTCCTAATTCCTAGCCCAGTCAAATGCTTGAGTAAATACTCAAATAACAGAAAGTTAATGGATGAAATCCAGAAACCAGTAGGTGAACGTGGAAGTCTAATAGGCTCCAGACATGCTCAGAATCTGAACATTTTTCGCAAGACGTGGATTTAAGCTTCTCGTCACTGCTAAGATCAAAAAATGGGACTGAACTGTTATAAGTGTTCAGTCTTTAGAGGGGTAGGTATTACAGTGATAGTGACTCCATTCAACACGTGGACGGTACAACCTACCTAAGCCCTGGTTCGACCTCATTCCGATCCCATCGAGGATCATGTCCCTCCTGGATCGGAAAATTTGTAACCGGCTTGCCTAGGGCAAGCCGATTCACTCTAATTCACGTGCGAACGCCTTAGGACGGCTATCTCAGGATTCCAGGGAGACTCACTTCGAGCAGCATTCAGTGGCAATCGTGACGAAGATGAAGAAATTCTGAAGCAACAACCGAAGTCACACGGAAAAAATCGATGACCATCGTAGACTCTGGATGAGAAGAAATGAAACGACAGCAAGAAATGCCAGAACCGCACAGTGTCACATACATGTGTTGTCAAGTTACGTAATGAATAATGAAGTAAATTATTTAGTTCGCAAATTTCACCTTTCCATAAAATTTTGCGCAAGAAGCGCATGTTTTGTTTGAGCGGGTTTCTGTTTACTTCTACGTGTTCAGCTTCAACACCGTCGTCAGAAGTACCACAGCGGATCGTTGCTTGCAGGGACAGTCAGTTCATCTAGTCAATACCTGCTCTTGAATGTGTTCAGCTTTCATTCTGTCGTCAGATCAGAAGTACTGCTGCGGATCGTTGTTTGCAGAGGAAGCCAGTTGGCCTAATCGTCAATACTTGCTCTTGATTTCAAACACAAACACCGCGATTCATAGGAGCAAGTCAAGGTCGGCGAACTGACGAACGAGGACGTTACTGAAATTGCAGCCGCCACGAAGTATCAGTTTTTTCCCAACGGATTTCCCACTGTACAGATCGCCCGTGATATTACGGTACGTCGGCTTAACGCAAGTATAAATCGTAATGGTCGTAATGTCGAAGTGCTTCAAATTCGAAACAATGTTAAGCAGCAGCATCTTCCCAATTAGATAAAGAAAGTATAAAAAATATACAAGAACAACTCTATGAAGGACTATGAGGAAAGCTTCATGTGCAACGAGAACCCCATTATCGTTTTCTTAAGCAATATCGGAAATAACCTGAATTATGTAAGTGATCAATAAATCTTGACAATATGATCGTTGATGAGCGTAGAACGTCGTAAATTTGAAAGAGAAAAAAATGACGCCTGAAAATTTACGATTGTTATTGAGTACTTAGACAGTATGAGACAAGAACTTTGTGTTCGGTTTGGGGACACGAGCTTCTAAACGAACCAGACTGGCTAGTTATCAGTGCAAGGTAATAAAAGGTTCTGCCTGAACGCACATGGTGCCTGTTCAGCCTCGCCCTCTCAATCATTCACGACTACCTCGTCCCTCACATCGATGTACCTATTACATTCTTATCGAAAAGAGATGGGAAGCTGAGGTGTACGACAGATATCTAGGAGGTAATGGGACATAAATGTATTATAATTAGTGTACAAGATGGTTTAAGTTCGTGGCAACACTGAGGCTATGGCAGTATAGCTAATGATCAGAGATGAGACAGAAATGTTTCTCTTTCTTTAAGTAAGAAAACAACCCGACCAGAACCTTGGCGATTACTGTAGTAGGTGAAAGAAGAGAAAATTTTCGACTACAGTACTCACGCCGCGCTACCACCTTCGAACGTTTCAGGGAGCAGAGTGATTCTCACCCATACTTTTCAACGACACTGACAAGTGTTTCAGTTAAGGTAATTTTTTTTGTTTGTCAGCTGATAAATCATGAGTTTCTCAATATTTTATTGCCGACAAAATACGTTTCGCGTGTCATCAACGCTTCGTTTTCGTGAAATCTCAAAGAAAAAACTGAATCGTTATGGGTAGAAAGAAAAATAAAAAAAGGAATACGCTGAAAAGAAGAAGAGAAATAAACTTGCTTCTTTGACAGTCTAGAAATGCCCAAAATATGGAAATGATTTCGAAAAAGAATTTTTGCCGTTTTGAAACTTTATTTCTTGGGGAAGCCGATGACTGTTGGAATCCGTTCACAACTGGGCTCACCTAACAGTTGAGAATAGCTAACTCATCCTTAACTTGGGTGGATTCTACTGGGAAATGAACTCACGACTGCATATCGCTGTTCAACACAGAATGAGCCTAACTCTCATATGACGTGGTGAAGTGCTGAGCTAGGAGGGTATGTCGTTCTATAGAATTTGAAAAAAGCAAAAGCATCTGTGTTTACACTGAATCTCACTTTCAAATCGAAATCTTTGATGTGAGCTAACCGCTATCTGCTTGACTACTAAGTGGACTTCCCATGACCCACTTTCTTTTAACCTCGGCATTGATTGATAATTCGATATCTTTCTTCAATAAGCAGACA